TAAACCATTCATTTCGTAATTTTTCTGTTCATATGGTAACAGTTTATCAGAAACTCCGGTTTTGAAAATTATAGTTTTTATTACTACCAATTTACTAAAAAATACAGAACTGAAAAAAAATTTGAACAAATAAATGGTTTTTAGGCCATGCTTTAAGGTATCATGAAAAAATTATCAAGTTTTACCACATTTAATGAATTTTATCACCTGTCATAAAACTATATTTTACTGCTATTTTTACCAAAATCATTAACAAAGCTCTTTAGTAAAAATTTCCGAGCTTTTTGGTGTTTATCATATAGCCAGAAACACGGTAAATGTTACCATTGTAGTAGTTTTGACCACACTTTTTTTCTCCAAGTACCGATGATATTTAAACTTACGAAATAAGACATCAAAACGTATTCTCTTTGAATAAACATATCTCTTTTATGACGAATATGGGATCTTAACTTTCAAAAAATTGAGGTATTTGCAATTTGCAAGATATGATCCCAATAAGTTGGTTAAAAGATCAGTCGAAAATTTGAATCCCTTAATGTTAATTTAACTTTCTTTTTATTTCACCAAATATCTCTTAAACATTTTAGTCGACTTGTAAACTTTTTTTTGATAATTTGAAGACTCATTCATTAAAAGATGTAAAATTTTTTTTTTATTATTAATTATAATTTTTTATTTCTTAATTTACTGATGACTGTAAGGGAGACACACATTTTCATCAACTTAAATTTACTTTTTTTAATAGGAAAAATTCTAAATTTGAAAGGATTTGGTCGAATATATTTTCAGAAATAAGAATTTGAAAATACGATCACTTTGAGATCTGACGAAATACGTAGCCCTGTGGCGGATTTTTTTCGAGCTTTCTACGACAATTCTCTCTACTACTAATACCTTACCAGACATTTTTAATCGTAGCATATATATCTGTTACTAATTTAAAGTAACAGTATCATTTTTTTTTTTTACAAAAGAAAGCCTTCATGTATAGAATAGAACAGTAGGGGAGAGTGGGGTCAATTGTAACAGGGTACGATTGTAACAGAGCAAAAATTTCGAGTGTCGGGTTCTAGATTTGGTTCCTAGGTGGCGCACAAGGTGTATTTAATAAATCTACACGTACACCTCTGATGGCAAGCATTTTTATGTACTTTTGAAAAAGTTACATCACAAAAGATATTTTCACGCCACGCAAGTACTTTTTTTGGTATTAGAATAATTTAATGGCACATTAAATGTTAAAACAGAAATACAGCCGGATATGAAAATTAAAATAAAATTACACCTTAATTAACATTTCAATAAAAAAAAGATTAGTTTTGCTAATTAACTAGCATTGTTTTTAACAAATGAAGCTGAAATGGCGTCTTGGGGACAATTGTAACAATAAGTAAAGGGACGATTGTAACAGCTGAAAATAAATAATCTTATGTTTACAAACCATTACTTAACTCTTTAAGAACCACCAATAGTTTCCTATATCATTTATATTATGTTGCATGTGCATTATTTTATTTGTCACCTTTCACAGCATAAATTAAAATTTTTAACCCCTTAAAGTTAAAAGTTTAACCCTTTAGGTCTCTGCTCATTATTATTTTTACTCCTAAAATATCACTACTATTTTGATCAATAAAAAAATATATCACAACTATGATAATATGTATAATTAACTATGTTTTAGTTGAATTTATGAACTGTTACAATTGACCCCGTAAGTGGGGACAATTGTAACAAGTGCACGACTGTCAAAAATTGTTAATAACTAATATAATAACATTTAAAATAAGGTATTTATTTTTTTTTCTAGTAGAGGATAGTCTACTTTACTCGTCTGTCAATTAATACTAATAATATATTGCATTTTTTGTTAGTTAAAAATAGTTAAGTAAAAAATGTTGCAATTGACCCCACTCTCCCCTATATACAGGGTGATTCTAAAAAGATGGGCAAAATTTTAGGAAGTGATAGTACACACCCAAGCAAGCAATTTTTATCAAAAATTGCATGGTCGAAAACAAAACGCAAAACCGCTAGTGGGCGTCATAGTTTATGTTCTTATATGAGGCAAAAACACACAAATAACGATGAAATTAAGTTATTAATGCAAATTTAATGGCATGTGATGATAATAAGTGTTCAAAACAGTGGCCGGCAGCGGCTATGCACGCAGTACAACGGCGAAGAAAAGATAGGCGAACATTCTAAAACGCAACAGGCGTATCACGAACTTTCCCTGCAGCGGCCGAAAGCTTGGCGACAAATAACACAGCGCAGTAACTCGCAACAGGAATGGAGCTTTCACGTTTGCATCAAACAACTTTCCAAACGCGCCAGCACCTTTGCGTTTTGTTTTCGACCATGCATTCTTTGATAAAAATTGTTTGCTTGGGTGTGAACTATCACTTCCTAAAATTTTGCCCATCTTTTTGGAATCACCCTGTATATATTTTTTAATAAAAAAAATAAGAATTATTTTTTAATCTACATATAAAAGAATAAATATTCTAATATCATTGGCGATATTCTCCTTTTCTAAACAAATATTTGCAAAGTTAACCTTTTTTAAATTTATGCTGTTTGGAAATACTTTGTATAATATCAATCTGAAATTCTAACTACAGCCATTCGTTGCGGAATTTATTTATTCTCAAAAGAAAGTTAGAAAAATAAAACTAGCGTTTTTTACATCCCCGCTATGCGAGAAAGGCATTTTTTTGTATATAATAAAGCAGAAAGGGCAGAAAATGTTTTTCGAAAAATTCTGCGAATAAAAAAATCAAAATTTCACAAATGAAAAATCTTTCTGCAAGAACCCTCCAATGTTCGGAGACAATGTCGCCGTTTCTCCATGATTCTGTCACGGGAATACGTAGAAAGTAAAATTAACATTAAGGGGTCCAAATTTACGATCGCTCTCGTGACCAAGCTATTGAAACCATATTTTTCAAATTGCGGCAATCTCCTTTGGGTTGAAATATAGAATCCGCGGAAAGAAAGGCATGTTTATTCAGAGAAAGTGAATATTTGTTCCTAATTTCCATACTGCTTTAATCTTAACTGCAATTATTAGCATAATTAAAGTTAGGCCCTAGAACCACTAAGATCTCATCTTCATACGGTAAAATACCACAATAAAATTATAAGTTATTAAAGCATTCTCTTTCTTATTTTCTTTCTTTCTTATTCCTTAATTAGTGCTCACCACTATTATAGATCTGTTCTATAAATGCAATTCTTTTTGTTTTATGCAACATTTTTTAGGTATGTTTGATTTACTTTTGATGAAATCCTTCATAAATGTGGTTATTTTTTTAACTAATAGTGAGCACAGACTAGCACACAATTTATCTTCTGTAATTATATCAGAATCTTCCTGTGAATTATGAAGAATTCTAATGATGAGGACATTATGAAGAATTCTTTCTGAATTTTAAAGACTCCCAAAATAACAACAAGAGGTACACATGCTGTCAAAATGATAAATGATTTTCATTCTAACTGATACTTTATTGATATTCGGTTATTAGACAGAATTTCTCTAAAACTGTGAATCATGATGGTTTCAAACTAATACTTTGTCCTTTTTATTGCTTAACTTGTTTAGAGAAATAAACAGAAATACAATTAAAATTTTAAGTAGTAATTATTTAGCAGTTTTGAAACGTTAGGAGCAGTAGTTTCTTTTTCTTCTTCATTAAGCCAAATTAGCATAAAGAACTATCATTATTTGATGAGAATTTTGGTTTGTAATTCATATTAATTTAAAAGAAATTTTTAAAACAATTATTTTATTTTATAACAGTCGTTGAACAGCCAAACCAATTTTGAGTTTACGACCCCCAAAGTTTGACTCCGTAGCCTTGTAATTTTGAACCCAATGCAGAAGATGAAAGAACTCTACAGGGAGAAACTTTGCCTTCGTGGAGGAATGTTTAATGGAATTAACCAGCATTTGCGTTACATAGAGATGAAAACCATGAAAATCTCCCATGGTTAACCTGGCGGCAAGGGGACTCTAACCCATGATCCATCTACCCCTGAGGAAAGCGGGTTTAGTTGAAAGTAGAGTATAATTAAAATAGTTTTAAAGCCTTATTAAAAAAAAAAAAACAAGTCTATTTTATAGAAGTTAAAAGTTTTAACTGAACTTTTCGAGACTAACTTAGAGACTTAAGATTAATCTTAAGATAGCACTTTTAATACATTCTTTGCAAACAAAAACCTATTTTGAAAGATATTGGAGTAATTGTTCTGAAATTTTATATTTTTGAGCAATCGAATAAAGAATGCCATCATTAAAGAAGCATTAAAAAAATTAAAGAAAACTATTAAATATTAAACTAACGTGAACGGTATTAGAATGTTGATCCACGTGTCCAAAAAAATGGTCGATGTAAGAAAGTAAAGAAGCGATATTGAAGGGGATAGAAAAGTACGGTTGGCTGCATTCGGTATAATATGCCGGTTATCGTTTACCATCAAATTTTAAAATTAGATTCAAAGTTTGTCTACAGATGGCACTACTGATTAGGAAGCTGTAAAAATGGTCTTTGATATCTGTCAGATCACCTAAACTGGTAATTTTGTCCTCATACTACCCCACATTATTGCTAAAAATGGTGGTTATTAGTAAGTTCTTTTTTACAGTTTTTCTCTGTTAGCAGCGCTCTTTGTTGCCAAACGTGTAATCCATATACTTTGTTTCATTGGCAGAATGCTGTAAATCGTTCATTTATATTTATTACCCTTTTTCGTTAACTGATTTTTTGAATTGTCAGTCATTTAGATTCGATTAGATTCTAATTCATAAAATTAAAAAAAATACATCATTTTGTAATCTAATTGTAAGTATTATTTGTTAAACTATTATAAAAAGTGCAATTTAAGAGTTTACAACATTTTGAAAAGCACTTAAGAAGTATTAATTTTAACAAACTCTTCCTTTGTCTATATTGTTTTAAGTCTTATTAATAAAAATGTTAATATAAACATACCATTCCATAATCTAAATCAGCTAAATTCCATTCCCAGGCTAATGTTGCTTGTTTTCTTTTCCAAAACTCCATAAACATAGTAGCTAAAATAGTTTAAAATATCTATAAAAATCCAACAAAATCCATGAAAAATTATTAAGAAAATAAATACTTTTTTAGCAAGATAAAAAATACACAACTATGTAAATATACGAAATTTCTACTTAGTTTCGACGGTTTAAACTATCTATATTTGTTATAAAAATAAGAATTTAGGCAAATAAAACGCTTTAAAAGGAAAACTATATGAAGAATTCAGTACGAGATTTAACGTTTACTGAAAACAAGATTTTTTTTATCACATATTTGTTCAATATTCTATTTAATTTGTTTTTTTGTTTTTTTCTTCAAATTTTCTCGAAAATTTCTATGAATTTTTTTTTTTTGACTTTAGGTTTTTGTGAGGAAGATTTGCATCATTTGAAATGGATGTTATTTTTACTAATGAATTATTTTCTTCTCATATAAATCTAGAATTCTCTTTTTAAAGTTGAAATACTATAAATAGAAAAAAATAATATTTAATCAGTGTAACAAAATTAGTAGAAACTTTGTTAATGCAGCAATATTTTTTTATTTTAATATATTCCTGATAACAGTCGCAAGTAGATTAATTTAATCTCCTTTTTTGTTGTTGTTCATTTACGTCGCACTAGAGCTGCATAATGGGCTATTGGCGACGGTCTGGGAAACATCCCTGTGGATGATTCGAAGACATGCCATCACAATTTTGATCCTCTGCAGAGGGGATGGCATCCCCGCTTCGGTAGCCCGACGACCTGCATGGGAAGTCGAGCACTTTACGGTAGAACAGTTTAACGAGGACCAATACCGCACACCCTCGGTCCCTACGCAGACTGATCCAAGTGGTCACCCACCCGCACACTGACCGTAGCCAGTGATGCTTGACTTCGGTGATCCGCTGGGAACCGTGTCTTAATGATCAGTCCACTGCGGGACTCTTTTTTCTTCCTTTTTAAAGTCTTAAAACAAGTAAGTTTTGCTAAGTGTGGTGTTTTTTTTCTTCTTTTTTTGGATTGATATTTTTTTAGGCAATATCATCGTTTAGCGTTTTGCCTCAAAAATAGTTCAAATCGTGAAAAATAACTAAATAAACAAGTAAAAATCTTTAAAAAATGTATTTTGAAAGTATTTATTGTTGTCTACATCCCATTTCTTCTTAATACTGCTGTCCACATCACATTTCTACTCCTACTTGCTTTCTTTAACATCATTAAAAAAATTCAGTTAAAGCCCATGTTTCGTATGTTAAAATGAAATATTTTTCACAACAGATAAACTGAGTGTAAGGTGAGTTTTTTTTTTTCTCATTTCTGAAAAATTGAGATTTTTTGGAAAAAATATCTTATTTTAGTCTCACTCAACGAAGCAATATCAATCAATTTTGTCAAGTAATTAAATTTCGGAGATCTCAGAGGTTGAAAATTCCAAGTTTCAATCTTTGAGTATATTTTGGCAACAGTCAACTATTAAACTTAAAAAGCCTGCCTTTAGCTAATTAAAACGCAAAACAAAAAGCGAACAATATGGCGAAAACCTATTAATTAAGTGTATAGATGGAATAGTCAGGTACAGATAGACTAATATATGGAAATTTAAAGTATAAAAATGTTGCTGGAAGTTCTAATTTAAGTAAATGATTTGCGAAATTAAAGTGTATCTTTTTAATAAAATGTTTTTATTAAAAAGATTTGTTTTTATTTACAAAGCTATACAATCTCAAAAATCAGTACAAAGTTTAAATTCGAGAATTGATCTATGTCTTATCGAACATTTAATATTAAAGTTTTTCTAATTGTTAAAAGCAAAATTCATTCTAAGAAAATATTGAATTCCTTTTGTATTGCAGTTATTTTTATTATTTGAACTAGACAGGAGTTATTTGAAGTTTAAAAGGATCAAATCAAATACTAGAAACAGATTTCGTGAAAGAACAATAAGAAATGCATATATAGAAGAATGTGTTTCTTTGAAGTTAAAAATAGCTTTTCAATTTGTTTTAAAATATAATAACTTTAATAAAATTTCTATACATTCTTCGTGAGATAGTGATCTAGAGAAACATATGAATGTAGAATAAACAATCATGAGTAAAATTTAAAATATAATGTGAATTCAACTTTATATGCTGAAATGGTTTTGAATATTTGTTTACTTCGGAAATTGTAAGGGATTTTTGGATCTGCTATGTTTTAAAACAGATGCATTTCCTTAAAATAAAATGTACATAAGTTAATAAAATTAATGAAATTTTTAACTTTTATATGAAATGCAACTTTTATTTTAATTTATTTATTAAATTCCTTAGATAAAAGGTTATGCATAAATCATTTTTTTTAATCTCAATCCTAAACCTGGGATTTTTATTAAATTCCTAAGATTCAAAGGTATTGATTTCTTTAACTCACTCCTAAATTTTTTAAATCTCAATATAAGATCTGGAATATCTACTAAATTCTTCGTCAGATTAAAGGTTATAGTATATAGATTGATGTGTTTTATCTCAATCCTAAAATTTTTTATTTGAATATTAATTTTGGAATATCTATTAAATTCCTTATATCAAAGACTATGCACCGAAGATTTTTTTTGTCTCAATTTCAAATTTTTTTATTTCAATTCTTAATTTGGGATATCAATTTATTAAATTCTTTAGATCAAAAGTTGAGCATAGATCATTTATTTTAAAATTTCAATCAAATTTTTTTAAGTGCCTTTTTTTAATTTTTGTTTCTTTAAAATGGCTAAAGTTAAGAAATTTGTTTTCTTTATCTTATAAATTGTTCAATCGCCTATGGTAAAAATTTATGTGAAAATCGCTATAGCTGGAAAATGAATGGTTTTCTTTGTAAAACAAATTTTCCAATAATTATTTCGCTGAAGCTATGCTAAATTTGTTAAAGCTTTGAATTTGTGTTCTTTATTATGTAATATGATAATATTATATGATAAAGCCAACAACTAAAATGTTCAATTGCCCATAACTAAAGCTATGCTAAAATGGTTAAACCTAGAATATTGATTGGTTAAACCTAGAACCAAATTTTATTTAAAAACAATATCAAGCAATTTTTTTTTTTGTTATGCTATTTTAGTGCAATTAGTATGTAATTTATTTATATTTATTTTAAAATAATAGCATACAATTCCTCTTTTTTTAACTATGCTATTTTAGTGTAATTAGTATTTAATTTTATCTCAAAATATCACAGAATAAATATATAAATGAAAACATCTATTCAGATTCAATTTTTATTTTATGTACTTTTATGTAATTTTATTTTACGCTTTTTATTAATGATTTACAACAATTTGTAGAGCATATTTCAACTAATTTAACCTAAAATTTTAAAATTAATTAATTCGCTGAAAATTTGCTAAATTTGTAAAAGTTTTGAATTTGTTTTCTGTATCATGTAATATGATAATATTCTATGATAATGCCTATAGCAAAAATGTTAAATTGCCCATAACTAAAGCTATGCTAAAATGGTTAAATACAGAATATTGAATGGTTAAACCAAGAACCAAGTTTTATTTAAAAATAATATCAAGAAATTTCTTTTAGTTATGCTATTTTAGTGCAATTAGTATATAATTTTATTTCAAAATGTTCCAGAAAGAATAAACGAAAACATCGATTCAGATTCAATTTTTTTTTGTATTTTATGAACATAAAAAATTTGTACTGATTTGAAATAATTTTTAAAGCACATATTTCAACTACTTTTTTGAAATTTAACCTAAAACGCAAAAATCAATTCTTGATCTATTTGAAATGTAGAGAAATTTATTGTAAGCATATTGTGATTTTGTGAACTAGAATTTGAAGTAGTTCTTCCAGGAGCATAATTCCAGAGCAGTTTTTTCACTGTAGTCTAATTTTTTAAGTATTTAAAATTTAAAAATTAATTAAATTGACTTATACTCACCCCATAATGACATGAAAACTGCAAACCCAACAGTTGCCGAATTATCAAACAAATGCACAATCTGAAATATAATCATGTGTGTCATTAATATTTCTTTTTTTTAAAATTTACTAGAAATGTTGTTCAGTACTGTTGTTTTTTAGTAAAAGTCTTCTCCGAATTTAGTGGTGTCAAAATATTTCGTCTCGACCAAATCACTGTTGCGATAATCTGCCGTAGACACAAATCACTTTATTAAAATGCTTGATTAATGTTTATTATCTACAAAATGAGATTTTTTTAAAAGTTATACGATTGTTCTCATTCGCTGATAAGTAGCGACAAATGGTTGCTTAAATTGTTCCAAAATCTTAAAAATTATGACTGATATTTATTAAGTGATTTCATGTAAAAATGAACGTGAAATTATTTTTATCCATGGCAAAATGTGACACAGTTTGATCTAAAGCTTAATTTTCTCTCGTTGCAATTTTCTACGGGAAGAATTTGTTTACTAACTGTATGGTAGTTGATAGTTAATAGTAAACACTTTGTACTAATAAACGACTTTAAAAATACTTTTAAATAATACTTCTTAACAGTGCAGTACAGTATGTGACAAACAGTGCCAAAAAATTGCTTAAGATAATTTCACGATCTTTAAAAATAATTTAATTCACCTAATAATAACTCGGATAATTTTGCTTTACAACCAGTTGTAATCTAATTGTTGTACTAAGGTCCAACTGGTAGTGGTCAAAACTTCGCTGCCTAAACTTTGCTGCCCAAAATATCAATGGCATAAGTTCGAGTTGACAAATCTTCGATTGGACAAAACTTCTGAAGTACAAAAGCCTAACTTAATAACTTATTTATGCATTAATTTCGTGTTTTTTGTAGCAATAGTAATGTACATAATTACAGTATCTAATTCAATTAATAGTAGTAATGTACCGGAATTAAGTGTAGCAATGTATTTTACTTTATAACCGTCATTGAACAGACGACCCAATTTTTTGGGTTTACAGCTACAAGTGCTCAACACAGTAGACTTGTAATTTTGAACCCAAACCAGAAGACAGGGGAGCTCCTGGATCAGGTAGGTATTAGTAGAAATTTTCCCTCGTGGAGAACTTTGTGATGGAACTAACCAGCACTTGCATTACATAGAGATAAAAATCGCGAAGACTCCACAGTTAGCCTGACTGTAAGGGGACCCTAACCCATGATTCATCTACCACTGAGGATATTTTTGCGTCAGCACTGTGGTCGGAGCAGGCCGGATGTGAGGCTCGTATCTATTAGCCATCTCTGAGAGATTTGAACCCAGTTCACTTCATTGGAGGGCGAACGCTCTATCCCCTGAGCCACCACGGATCGTAGCAATGTATTGTAACTAATTTAATTTGTTGTTGTTGTTAATTTACGTCGCACTAGAGCTGCACAATGGGCTATTGGCGAAGGTCTGGGAAACATCCCAGAGGATGATCCAAAGACATGCCATCACAATTTTGATCCTCTGAGGAGGGGATGGCACCCCCGCTTCGGTAGCCCGACGACCTGCGCGCGAAGTCGAGCACTTTACGGTAGCACAGTTTAACGAGGACCAATACCGCACACCCTCGGTCCCGACGCAGACTGATCCAAGTGGTCACCCACCCGCACACTGACCGCAGCCAGTGATGCTTGACTTCGGTGATCTGCTGGGAACCGTGTCTTAACGATCAGTCCACTGCGGGACAATTTAATTTGTATTTTGTGATAATTTACATTTGAATTTTGTCTTTTAATAAAAAATATACATTAAAGAAACACGAATCATGCCAAAGTCGATCCCATGCAGGAAAAAGTGAGAGGGATGTTTTTTTCTTCCTTTTTTTTAACAAAACATAGGAGTTTGCATGAAGTTAAATAATTAGTTTACATAAAGTTAAATAATTAGTTTACATAAAACTAAACAATTTATAATTGAAAATTTATTAGTTTATTTAAATTTTTAATCCGTTCCAGGAAATATCAGAAAAGGAAGTCCCCAAAATTCCAAGCTACAGAGCTGTCAAGTTTTATTTTGGTGGAGTTACGGACAAGCTAAGCTGAATTCGAGAGGTCCTACTTACTCTGCTAAACAAGCATCCTTCTTTCAGCTCCCAGTAATCACAGCGTCTATCACATTGCGGACACATGGGAATTCCACCAGCACCATGAGGATCACAGATCTCTTTGCTATTAAGAACAACAGGCATTCCTTAATGTACTGATACATTAATAATGATAAGAAAAGGGAAAATTTCCTAATAAAAATATCAGGAATTTGTCAATAATGATACGAAAAAAGAAAACTTTCTAATGAAAAAAGCAAGTAATCATCAATAATGTTACGAATTTACAGAATAACCAAACATAAAATAAGTCCCTGTCCGGGTCACCAATGTAGGGTGACTTGTTATCGACAATGTCAACCTTCATCTATGAGAAGGTAGAATCGAGTTTACACGTCTTATATACTAGTGATTTGGAATTATTTTTACAGTGGTAGACGCACTAAAGTACTCCCCACCAGAATTATAGCCGTGACACAATCCGATGAACAGATACCACTAGTTGATTCATTGCTGTTTTGTGAGAAACCGGGAGAGCTGTACTAAGATCACCGTACTTTTAAATGCTGATCGTGAGAGCTGTATTAAGTTCATGGTCGCTGTTGCTCCTGTGTTGCCATTAGCAATCGAGTGTATGCAAGCCGACGTGTGATCGAGACTGAGTAGCAACACCGAGAGGAGGTGAATAGTATCGCAGTCACAAGTAGCACGTCAACTGTTCAATGTGGACTATCCATCGATGTAGACGTGTTCAGATCGAAGTGGGCGTTACTGTCAAGATAGGAGTGTTCTTATCAAAGTGGGAGTTTCCGTCAAGGTAGTCATGTTCATATCTCGTCCGGGTCACCAATATGGGAAGAGTAGAATTCGACAATGTCAACCTTCATCTATGAAAAGGTACCTCATCATAGAATTGAGTTAATATGTCTTATATGGTAGTGAATTGTAATTGTACTTTTATAGTGGTAGATACCCTACAGATTTGGGATTCAAGAATAATGGCAAGAAAAGGGAAAATTATTTAAGAAAGTGTACAAGGACAACAAAGGAATAGAAAGAAAAGTAATTGTTCAAAAATTGGATAGAGACTTTTATTAAATGTGAGAAAAAAGAACACGCTGGTGCTCCACAGCCTGTAGAAATTCAACTACCATGTTGAAAATTGCTGTATTGAAAGGAACATTTTTATTCGTGAACTTAACACAAGGATTTTGCTTTCATTTCCTTTTTGCTCGAAAGTTATTGCAATTTTAAATCTTTTTCACGTTTTTTTTCTCTCACTTTTTTTTTAAATACTAATTTTTTATTCATTACTAAAGGAAAATTTATTTATCTCTCTCGAGATCATAAGCTCGTGTTTGAATCGGAAGTAACAAGCAGAGAGAGAAATAGTAGCTGTTACCAGATATAAATCTCATCATTTCAATAGAAAATTTAAAAATATAAGAAACTTAATTCAAAAGAGATAAAAACCATTTCTACTTCTAACTATTATAATGATACAACGTTATCATTTAATAGCGTTAACGAATAAATTATCGTTCCGCTAATTTTTCTTATTGTGTCACAGATACTACAATCCTAAGTTTAAACTTCATTTTCAAATATAATTCATTACACAGTGGGAGAAATTTTTGTTGCATTCATACAAATTGAATTATGCAAAATGAAATTGAATATATTATTGAAATTGCATTTATACAAATACTTTATCTTGCCCAATTCGAAGGTCGGGATTTCAAATCTGAGCTACAGCCCTTAAAGCTACAGATACTTTTAATAGACATTTTAAGACTACTTTTTGGCCGGGATAGCCTGGTCGGTAGGGTGCTGGGCCCATGTCCGAGAGTTCGTGGGTTCGAACCCCGCCGGCCGAAGGCTCCCAGTGTAGTATAATGGTGACTGATGCACAATAAATCTGTCGAGTTGCAAAGTCCTCTATGTTCCCATAACAAAATCAATACCTCTGGAGGTACTGAATTGGAGATTGATCGTTCTCTGATTCAGATCAAAAATTACGATCTGTGGATGAATGAATGGTTGCATGAATGGGTTCGCCCTAAAAACGGGCGTGACGTATGGGTGTGGCAGAAATCGAATTATTGGCCATAAATGGCGTCGCTGGAAAACAAGAACAATCGCACACCTTTGCCTTAACAGGCATATGAAGAAAGAGAGAGACTATTTTTTGTCAAAATATGCAAGATATTAACTTCTTTAAAATAAAACAAGTAACATTTTTATTTTAAAAGCGTTGTATTATAAAACAGAGGTTGAGTAAATGTGGGACAAACTTTTAAGGGTGTATGGGCATATGATCAGAACTAAAATTGCATAGGAACCCATGCCCGAAAATGCAGTCGTATACAACTAGGACGTTTCTCAATCAGAAACACAAGAAGAGATAGTTCATAATGGGGAAGCGGCCCTGACAACATTTCTGCACATGGATTCCTAAGTTATTTTAATTCTGATGCTGTGCCCTAACTGTTCTAGAAGTTCGTCGCAACGTTTACGAGACTCCCTGTTAACGTCTTAAGTCTCGTACATTTCGACAAAAATAGAATAACAATATCATTTTTGAAAAAATCTGTAACTTAGAGAGAGTAAAATGTCGGAAAATTTCGACTTTTAAGGAAAAAAACAACAACTATGAATGAATTAGAAAGTGGAAGAGCAAAATACGAAGGATTCCAGTTGCATAAACAGCATTGATTAGTCGATATAAATATGGCTTTTACGACGCTGTAAGCCTTAGTGCGACCACAGTCATCAAGAAAAAGTTTGTTTAAAAAATAGGTTGTTAAGATGTTTATCTACTTTTTTTTATTCTATGTGTTAAAAGAATCAAAGTTTATTATCGACATTTTTGAAAAGCTTGGAGAAAAAAAAATTACATTCATGAAATCTCCAACAACGAATAAAATTAAGTATAGAACTATGCCAAAGTACTTTGTTTTACGTATAGACAAACTAGAGAGATAAAGCGAGTTTTAACAAAAATTTAAAAAAAAAATGGATAATTTAATATAATTAATCTTCATAGGTTTTTGATGACTTATAAAAGAATTCGTTAATGGCTTTCATCAAAGTGACTAAGCATTTTTGCGTTCAAAATAAATGTTTTCTTCATAATTTTAATATTTTATATTAATTTATGGTTTTTTTATGCATATTTTATGAGCTAAATACTATTTCATATTTTTTTTTATTTAAAATATGTGCACTGAAATGTGCGCGCACGCAACATGTGCCAAATAACCCAGAAGAGTTGTTTTTATGTGGGAATTAAACTTGGACTCGATATCTCAATTACAAATAGTAATATATATATTTAAATAGCAAAATTTTATTTTATTTTTTTGGAAATTTAGTTGAAAGGCTGACAGTGAACTATGAATAATAAAAATAAAATACCATTCATGCATTTGCAAATGTATTGTAGCTAAGCTTTAAATACATTAATAAAATAAAGTCAATAAAACGCATTACAATCGACTTTTTTCCCTCAATAGAGTCACTTGGTACAAAACACTAAATGTCTTCACTTTTATTAGAATGATATTTTTTAGACTAAGCGAAAGGTTCTTAACGACTATAAGCACGCTATGTCATCTGTGGCGTAGATTTGTTAAAGTAATTTATTCGTCAAGGTAATGTCAATTTTTTTAAGAAGTTTATTTCAAAGTAAAATATTCGAGGAACTTTATTTCAAAAGTGATGCGGTTTACTATTTTACGTATAAGAGATATAATTTTCTCCATTTCAAACTACTTCAAAAACATGTATTTTTTAACCATTATACTCCATTTTTTATTAACCATTTTACTCCATTTCGTATTATTAGAAAGAAAGGTCGGGGGGGGGGATCACATTAAAACGAAAATATTAATCTATGAACTAAAACTTTAAAATATTTTTTTTTCAAAAAGATTAAAAAAAAAAAACAATTTTTTTGTTATACCTAAAGCGGAAAACTAAAAATGTGCGTATGACGCACATAGAAATTTTTTTCAAATGTGAAGAGTCTCACGTTTTTTTTTCCTTTTAAATTTCAGGTAAAAATATTCATTTTCACTTTTTTAGACTACAGGAAAAACCCGTTTCTGTAAAAACTAAGGATAAACAATTGATGCTGAACAATTTTAAAAATTGTTCAAAGGAACACGTTTTTTAACGATAATTTAAAAAAATTTTACCAAAATGTTCAGTTTTCAAATTTTTAAAATTCTAAACTTTTCGAAAATTTACTTAATTTAAATGCCATATGAAAGCTCTAAAATTTTAAAATGCAAAAAGGTTTACTCCAAAATCATACGCCTTCACAGCATACGTTAAATAATTTCTCTACTTAAAACTTCAAAGTTATCACGTTCTGGACATAGTCAGAGATTGTTTACAATCGATAATGAATTGACGAGTGCTTGTGGTTGTCTCAAATGCTGCTTTTTATCTACAGAAACTAAAGTTTCCCTTTAAAATTATGTGTGTGGTTAGTTGTGCAATAAGGTACCTTTGTCTTCTGGAATGGTTTTAAAGTTACAAGGCTACTGCGTTGAACATTAGACATTAGTAGAGCACCGTAGTTAAAGACATTCGCTGCAAGTGCAAGTGATTTGTTTTGTGAAACATGTCTTCAAGAAATCATTTAGACGACTTTACTCGAGGAAGAATGATTGGTAAACGACGATTTTACTTGAGGAGGGACGTAGTGTGACCAGTGCCGCCGAAGAGTTCGGGATCAACAAAAGTGTTGTTTCTCGTGCCTGGAATGCCTTTAAAACTACTGGTACAGCTATTCGGAAGGTTGGAGGTGGCCGTCCAAGGAAATCAACACCAAGAGATGACCGTTACATTGTCCTCCAGGCGAAAAGAAACCGTTTTCAGTCAGCGAGCGCCATATCTCAGCAACTGTGCTCAGCCACAGGACGACAAGTACCAAGATTTACAGTGGCCAGACACCTCCACAAAGGTGGCTTATTTGCTAGATGTCCTGAACGCTGCATACCTTTAAAAGTCAGCCATCGGCAAAACCGTTTGGAGTGGTGCAGAGAACACGGAACCTGGACACCTCATCATATTTGGAGTCGCGTCCTCTTCACAGATGCGAGAGTCGTTCTAGTGCTACAAGCGATTCTCAACGTCAGTTGATCTGGAGAGAGGTTAGAGCTCGATTTCATCCCAATAACATCGCGGAAAGAGATCGTTACGGTGGTCCTGGAGTAGTCGTCAGGGGTGGCATTATGTTGAACGGGCGGACTGAGCTACAGATTTTTGACCGAGGTTCTGTAAGGACTGGAGACTGCTACTGCAATGAGGTAATCCTACCCCATGTGCGTCTGTTCCGAGGGGCCATTGGACCAGACTTCATTTTTATGGATGACAATGCCCGGCCACACCGTACTGCTAA